CGGAGCTCAGCAAGTTCCTGCACCTGAGAAAGGTTTTATCTCTGGCTCCCTGAGATAAGTGTCCACTCCCTTAAGATGATTACGGATCCCTCCCCTCAAACCCATTGACCTTTAAGACATTAAACCATCAAGACCACCCCCCACCAGCACTAACTGCACCGCCCTCTTTGTATACATATATATATATATAGCTGTGTACGACACAGTAAGTCTCTCCTCTCCTCTCCTCTCTGCTCTCGCTTTCTCTCTCTCTCTTTCACGCTCTCTTGCTCTCTCTCCTCTCCTCTCTGCTCTCTCTCCTCTCCCTTCCCCTCTCCCTCTCTCTCTCTCACTTATCTCCATCTTTGCCTTCTTCCTTTCGTCAACCCTGGGACGCCAATCCTCGGCCTTGCTGGTCAAGGCCCCTTACACTTTAGCAAATCAGTGACAGTATGTTTGCTGTTCCATTAGTTATTGACTCTGAAATATACAATATCAAACATTTTTCTTTGGAAATTAACTGAGCTTTCAATTTCTCTGTTATCTAGAGAAATCTATTATTCAAAGATATCATCCTATAAGGAGATAAAACACATTACTTTTTTCTTTTAATTATATACTGCTTTTAATGAAAAGTCTACATGACACATGGTCTGATCACAACAGACTTGTTAAAGTTTTCTTTTAGTTTATTGATTTATATGTATTTTACATCATTGTTTATCTTTAAACAATGTTGCTTTCCTTTCTCAGGGGTAGTCCCCCTAAAACTTCCACCAATTTACATGTGCACCATCACCAGAGACCCTGTGCTCTTCCTTACCTCACTCTAATTCTTCATCCTCCCTTACCCTGTAGAATGTCTCTGGTGTATAGGTGTTAAAACAAGTCATCTTTTAAACATACACTTTAGCTACTGATAAGCTGTTGCTCAAAGTAAAAATGAGTTTCATTTTTATGGAGTGATATAGTAGTAATTAAATATGAAGAAAGTGATATTAAAAAATCACCACTATATTTTAGGATTGGCTTACTTTAATTTTAGCTAGCAATTAACATTTTCTGCTTTACAAATAGCATACATATTTTTCAGACATATTCAATCTGCATATAATAAACACTTAAAATTAAAGCAGCCATTAAGTAGCCAAGTTCTTTTTTTTTTTTTTCCATCACATGCTCAGTTAAAGGTGATGGTCACATATAATCATGCAAACTAATCCAATCAGTTGAGGAATTTGATTCTGAACATTGGTAATCAAAGACCTAAAGGACATATGTAAACTTCAATGGACATTGAGAACAAAATGTAGAAATTATTATATATACTTAAAAAACTATAGAAGGAAAACAGGCAGTACATTTTTAAAAGATTAAATAAACATTCAAGTAAGAACTTTTCACCATCCACAAAACAACATGCTCTAGTCTCACACACACACACACACACACACACACACGTACCTGAATCAGCATGTGTAAACATAGTGGGGGCTTCAAATAGGTTTGCTTCAGATTGGGCTGAACAGTTAGTGAGTTCTGATTCTTGGTCTTCCCAAACTTTTTCTCCTTGATTAGATGCTTCATTATTTATAGCATAAATAAACTTTTTGGTTTTCTTTTTCAAAGTGGATATTAAACCTGAATCCTTCAAAGCTACTGAAGTATTTTTGATAGGGGATGGCCAATTATCATTATCCATTGAATTAAGACATAACGAATTTTCTTTCTGTGAACAAATGCTATGTATTTTCAATCCCCTTTCAGATGATTGAGGTTCTTTAGAGTTTGGATAAGTTGTATTACTTGAGAAAACGGCACTGAATGTCTCCTTAGGTGACTTTCTTGCCTTGAATATAGGCTTTTTAATATCCTGAAGTGGAGAAATTATTAGAGACGTTTCAGATACTGGTTGCTTTATCTCAGGAATGGAATCTTCATGAGACTCAAGACAACGCCTTCCATTTTTCTTACTTACCACTGTTTCCTTATTTAATATTTTTTCTGCTTTTGGTAGACCTGACATATGTGGCAAAGAAGTTTCTAAAGTCATAAAATCGGTACATTCCCTTTCTGTGTCAATGAGGTCTTTTCCTGAATTATTTTGGTCACATGGTAGGAGCATTTTCTCCATCTGGGTTCCATTTAGACCTGAGAGGTTTAGCTGAGACTGTTCAGAGGCTGAAGATGCTACAACTTCCAAAGGCATATAGCTACTTTCACTCCCAAAAGCCTTTTGATTTGTTATATTTGATTCCAATGGATTACTGTCATGGTGTTTTCCTTCAGGCATAAATGAGTGCTTATTTTCTTTCATTTGCTGTTTAGCTTTCTCACATTCGTCAGCTTTTGTTTCATTAAAAATATTTTTCCTAGTCTTGCCAGATTTTACTTTTCGTAGATTTCTTGATTTATATTTAGAAATACATAATGAAAAGCTATCTTCTTCAGAAATATCTGTAACTGTTTCATATTTTTCATCTTCTAGGACATTTGGTGCAGACTTTTCAAAATAGTCTTTGCAACTATTTAATGTTACAAAAGAATTATCTAATATTTTCCCCAATCCTGTAAAAATTTAAAACAAAAGCAAGTTAATAGTATTTTTGTAATAAAGCCATATAATGTATACTATTCTCCTAACATTTTTCATGGTTATGAAATTTGGATTCCAATGTATAGAAAAACAGTTTATTTATATCCCAGTGCCAATAACCTTTCTTTGCCAGTTCGACACAACGAAAACTTATTATATATACACACACTTTAAAATTTATCAAACTAAATGTTCCAAACTAATTTTGTAGTTCTGCAACAACAAAGAATGAAATCTAACTTTACACACACAGTAGATTTATGTGTGCACATCACACAGAAATCCAAGCCTACATAACTATACAGAGATACATATATACTAAGAAAAACACATTATCACAATCATTGATTAGGTATTTTTGCTGTATACAGTCATCTTTACTTAATTAGAAATTAAGCCTTCACATTTATTTTCTCACTCTCCCTTTCTGCAAAGTTTTAAGTAATTGTTTTTTTGTGTTACAATAGTTCTGTTGAATAATACTTTCTTAGATGTTTAAACATTTTCATCTAAATTAAGTTAGTTTTGGGCCTCCTTGCTGGCAAAAGGGGTTAAAGTTCAGCACTATGGAGCTACCAGCAACCATTGAGCACCAGTTTGATCCCCAGCCAGGGATCTAACCCACAAGGCAAGCAGACCTCTCCAGTATCCCCTGCTGCTCTGCTCGGCAGTGTGTTTCAGTCAATCTGCTTGTTCTGTTCCTCTGTCTCTGGTGAATCCTCTTACCACACTGTACCACTGGTCTATACCCCAGCACTTGTATGCAAATAAATAAATAAATCTTTAAAAATCAGGTTAATTTCTAGTCTCAATACCTTGAAACACTACAGTAGTCAAGAAAGGAGAAAAAAAATATTTTCTCTTTACTGAAATAAAGGAGCGATATTTTAATAACGTCAGTTAAAATTAGGAGTTCATCCCCTACCTGCTGGTGCAGCTGTTAACGCACAGCACTAAGAAGCTAAAGCCACTTCAGCATGAGTTCAGTCCCTGCCCCAGAGGTGATCCATATGGCATGGCAGAACTCTCCTGACCCACCCACTGCTCCCCTCAGCAGTGTACTTTGTCAGTTGGCCTGTTCTGGTGAATCCTCTCACCACCCCTGCACCTCTGGCCTGTACCCCAGTTCTGTATGCATAAATAAATAAATCTTTAAAAAATAGTAGTTCAACAAAACAGAAAGACTTACCATTATCATGACCTTTAGGTTCTTTTTGAATTTTGTTTTCATTATCTGGCCCAGAAGTGGTAATTTTATCATTTTTCTTTAGACTGTCATCATGGTTACAAAAATAGCTTTTCAAAATCTGAAAAAGCAGTATTTTAAAATCACTAGTATAAAAATTCTCAATATTCATACATGCATTAAAGTATTCTTGACAAAGACAGCATAGTTTCATAGGAAGTTACACAAAACCACCTAGGAACAGGTTTAGAGAGTTTTTCAAAGGCTTAGATAAATCATAAAATAGGGAATAAGGAATGTAAAATTTCCAAAGCATTCTAAAATTATAAGCAATTGCAACAGCGTAATTAGTCTTATTTACTTACAGCAGTAGTTTCACTAGGACACACATTTGCAGATGCTTCCTCATCTCTGACTGCAAAAAAATAAATTCAATTTAATACTGTATTGCAGATCATCTATTAAAACAATGTAAAAAGTGTATTATTTGGGTCAAACATCAAAAATTTTATGCTTTGGTTTCAATGATACATTTGAAACAAATTTACTAACCAAAGTATGGTAATTAGAAAGGTGAATCAACAAGAAGTAAGCTATACTCATTTCTTCAATATTACTTTAAGAAAGTATGGTGTAGTGATTCTGATTTTAAGTTAATAATGTGTAAAAGACTTGAAAAACCAAATGAAGCCATGAGGTTAGGATTTAAAAGCTAAACCATATAAATCTTAGCATGTATTCAGACAATAATAAAGTCTACAGGCATATCATATTTTAAATGATTCTTCTATTTTTATTTTTTAAAGATTTTTAAAAATTTATTTTTGCATACAAGTACTGGGATACAGGCCACAGGTGTGGGAGGTGAGTGAATTCACTGCAGACAGAGTAGGGAGCAGAACAGGCAGATTTACTGAAATACATTGCTGAGGGGAGCAGTGGGTGGGCCAGGAGAGGTTTGTCATGCCATGTGGGTCACCTTCCCAACCAAGGATTGAACGCATACTGCAGTAGCCACAGATAGCTTCATAGTGCTGTACTTTAACACACTGCACCACCAGGGAGGGCCCTGATTGCTAATTTTCAATGTTTGTTTCTGTTGTCATTTTATTTAAACAAAAAAAATGGAAGTTAAATTCCCAGATTAAAAGGAATATTAAGCTGAACTGAATATGCTTTCACTAGAACACACTAAATGGAAAAAAAATCCTACCTTGGATATAAATTAACATGAATTTTAGCTTTGAATACAACCCAAAGTACATGTATTTTATGACTCCATACACACATGGTGAAAATACATGCAAATACATAAATATAAGCAAAAGTTTCATAAAACAATTTTGCTTTGTATAGGGTTACCAGATAAAATATGGGATGCTCTGTTAAATCTGAATTTCAGATAAATAATAATTTTTGAGTGTAAATTTCACAACTATTAATGGGTGATGATTTGCAGCTTGAGAAACATTGATCGAGTTCTTGTTTCCCTCCCCCAAAAAACTAAACTGTTGATGGTGAATATTTACATTTTTCTCCATTAGTGTCAAATCTTTATTGCCTTCCCCATAAATATGAAGGATCTATTAGGATGCACTTCCAAATTCTTGTTCACACTGTTTAGTCACATTTATTTATCATAATTTCTTTACATTTAGATTGTTACTATAAGTAATCTAGGAACTTTTAAAAGGTCACTGTTTTGTAAATACTAATTCAAAAATATCAGCTACTAACGTTTTAAGTTGTGTGTTTTACAACAGGAAATATTCTCAATCTTGGTAAGATAATGAAATTATTAAGTTTTTATGGACTCATTCATTCAAACGTTCTAAGTGTCTAGAGAGTACTAGCTGGATGTTTAAAACACATTTATGTCCAGGCCCTCCCTGGTGGTGCAGCGGGTTAAAGCACAGCACTAAGAAGCTTTAGCCACTTCCGCATGAGTTGGATCACCGCCTGCCCCGGAGGAGATCCACTTGGCATGGCAGACCTCTCCTGACCTGCCCGCTGCTCCCCTCAGCAGTGTACTTCCTCAGTGGGCCTGTTCTGCTCTCTGCTCTGTCTCTGGTGAATCCTCTCATGCTCTACATCTCTGGCCTGTACCCCAGTTCTGTATGAATAAACAAATATTTAAAAACAAAAACATTTATTTCTATGAAGACTGACTGACTACCAACTATGTGCCAAGAAAATATGATGCTCCTGCAGGGCTTGGAGTCAAATAGATAAAAAGTTCAGATAATCACAGATATAATTATACTTATGAAATTTAAGCACTCAATTCCCTACTAGTGGCAACTGGTACTGTAGAACAAATTTAGGTAGAAAGAATAAAAGTTTAATCATGCCTAAAGTAACAGAATGACCAGTTATAAATTCACTATTACAAAGACATGGAAACAACCCAGATGCCCAAAAGTGGATGACTGAATTAAAAAGATGTGGTAATATTTACACAATGGAATATTACTCAGCAACCGAAAAAAAACAAGCACATGCTTTTTGTAGCAACATGGATGGAGCTAGAAAAGATCATGCTTAGTGAAATAAGCCAGAAAGAAAAGGAAAAATATTGATGGTCTCACTCATAGCAAGAGTATAACAGACCAGGCAAGAAAATAATAACAACAATAATAAAACAGCTATATACCAGAGACATTTTATAGGGGTAGAGTGGGGAATGGGATCAGAAACAGTGGGGGCAGGAGAGGCGAATGCACTGGACTGTGATGATGGCACACAGGTGATGGGAAGCCCATGGGGATTACAACTGAGATGGAAAAATGCACAAAATGATGTAAAAATATATTATTTTTTAAAAATTCACTATTACACCAAATACTAGCCTTTAAAAGCTTACACATATACTTTAAATGGCTACTTGTAAAACTATTCTAGATTGACACAGTACTAAAATATAAAGCATCAGTGACTTGTATAGAATACTATTTGATATACTTCTGATGTATCAAATCTACACTAAATAGAATAAAATCATTCTTATAGGGGAACCACCATGGGATAGAGGAAGTTCCTTGCTTTGCTCCTAAGAGGTTCATCTAACAGTATGAGGTGGATATTACATTTCAGAGTCCTGTGGTTTAGGACAAAACTGGTACACACCTGAGACACTGGAAATCGGAACAGAATGAGAAACGAAACACAGAAGACAGGTTTCACTGCATAGGAGGTGAAAAGACGAAAGGCCAGAGGCTGAGGTCTAGGAAGCGAGACTCTATCAGTTGGCTACCAATTCTGCTGGAAGATACTGGGAGGGTAGAGTAAAATGGTATGGAGGCAAACATCCCTGACAGAAAATGTAGAGAACTTAGTGCACTCCCTGCAGATAGTTTGTCCAGCAAAAAGAACAGGGAGACTATGCTAGACTACATATCACCCCCTACAACTAGTACTGACCTCCTGAACTCCACTGACAGCACCCACACTACAGTCTTGGGTAGTGAACCCTGGAGAGAAGGAATATTATTGATACCAAAAATATCACCCAGCCCTAGAACACTCTGTTCCCAGTGCATTTATATGAGGAACTAGATCCCTCAAGACTTCTCCTAACCTCTTACTCAGCAGCAGCAAGATGAGTTCTCTGGACCTAGGAAAGTTGTGCCATCTGCCAGAAAAGTAGAAGCAGTTCAAATCTCTGTTAGTGCTACAGATACTTTAAAAAAAAAAAAAAAGGGGAAATCTAAAGTAGTAAAATGAGCAGACAAAAAGATATTACACATGGCAACTTGAGCCCTCACAGGAATAAGGCATCATAAGAAAACACTTCTCCATAATACAACCAATATATAACAAACTCGCAGCTAACATCAGGACACAAAGTTAACACACAAAAATCAGTTGCGTACATACAGACAATCAACAAACTAGAAAGAAAACAATCCTATTCACAGTCAAATCAAAAAGAATTAAATACCAAGGAATAAATTTAAGAAATAAGTGAAAAGCAAAAGACTTGTAAAATGAAAACTATGCAGCATTGACAAAAGAAACAGAAGGTACAAAAAATGAATAGATAGTACCAGTTCTTGTACTGGAAGTATAACATTGTTAAAAAGGCCATCTTGCCCAAAGCAACATATAGATTCAATGCAACCCCTAGGAAGCTTCAATGGTATTCTTCAAAGATATGGAACAAACATTACTGAAATTTATGTGGAACAAAGGGCTTAGGACAGCCAAAGAAATCCTGATATAAAGAACTAACATACAATATGATACAATATGCCCAGACCTCAAATAATACCACAAAGCTATAGAAATCAATAGTATGGCATTGAAATAAAAATAGGTACATAAGTTCAATAGAATTCAGAGCCAAGAAATAGGTCCATAGTTACATGGAGCTTACAGTTAATGTATGACAAAGGAGCCAAAATATACATACAATGGAAAAAGGAAAATATCATTAAGAAATGATGTTCAGGCCCCACCCTGGTGGCTCAGCAGGTTAAAGCACAGCACTATGAAGCTAGCCGTAACCATTTCAGCATCAGTTCGATCCCCAGCCAGGGGAGTGACCCCAATGGCATAGCAGACTTCTCCTGTCTCCCTAGTGTTCCCCTCAGCAGTGTACTTCATCAATCTGCCTGCTTTGCTCCCCACTCTGTCTCTGGTGAATCCTCTCATTGACCCCGCACCCCTAAAATGTTTAGAAAGCTGCATAACCATATTCAAAAGAATGAAACGAAACCATTCTTTTACACTGTACACAAAAATTAACTCAAAACATATTAAAGACTTGGATATACAATCTGAAGCCATGAAAGACATAGAAGGAAGAGCACAGGTAAATCGTTTAAAACACTGACTTTTGGGATATTGTTTGGGACTTAATCTCAATGGCAAGGGAAATAAAAAGCAAAGGCCTATATCAAATTAAAAAGCTTCTGCACAGCAAAAGAAACTGTCACTAAAATAAAAATAAATTTTATTCCACCCTACTGAATGGAATAAAATATTCATACATGTTATACATCTGAAAAAGGGCTCATATCCAAGATCTACCAAGAATTCATACAACAAAAAGAAAAGAAATCTAAACAAAAATGGGTGATGAGCTAAAGAGATGCTTCTAAAGAAGACACAGATAGCCAATAGACACATGAGAAAAAAGCTCATTATGTTTTTTTCTCCTATTCGGGTCCACCAGAATGATTTCTGCAAAGGGTGGTGAGAAGGGCTGTTTTGTCATTAACTAGGTAGTGACCAAAAAAAACCAAACAAACAAACAAAAAAAACATCATTATGCAGAAGTACATCCATGGAGTGGGCTTCTAGAAGCATGCGCCTCAAACAATAAGAGATCTGGAAATTTGCAATGAAGGAAATGGCACATTCATATCAGGATCAATAAAGCTATCCATGCCAAATGAATAAAAAACATCTCATACTGTATCCATATGCAGTTGGCATTGGCATGCCAAGTGCAAATCAAAACCATGAGATAGCACATCATATCTTAAGACTGGCCCATATAAAAAAAGACCAGAAACAAGTGTTGTTGGTGATATGAAGACAAAGGAAACTGTATGCATTAGTGATGGGAATGCAGACTGGTCTTGCTTCTGTGGAAAGTGATATGGAGGTTTCTCAGGATATTAAAAATAAAGCTACTGTATAATCAGCAATTCCACTCCAAAGTATCTACCCAAAGAATGCAAAAATAAATTCAAAGGGACATATGCATTCCTGTGTTCACTGCAATAATATTTACAATATCCAAATTATGGAAAAAACTTAAGTACGTAAGGACAGATGAGTGAATTAAGACAAGATATATATGTTCCACGTTGTATTACTACTCAGTGAAATAAAAAAGTTAAATCTTGCCATTTGTGATAACACGGAGAGGATCGGAGGGGTATATAACAAGTGGAAATAAGTCAGAATGATAAAGACAAATAGTAGATTATTAAAAGTGGAAGAGAGAAAATAAATAAAGAAATAGATAAAACCAAGCCAAAAAAATCCTAGAACCCTGACTGCACAACTGAGACTTGCTAAAAGGGAAACCAACAGAGCAGAAGGTACAATAAAATATGGTAGAACATTATGGGTGCTTTCTTGGTAGGTATTCTGTGTAAGACAGAACTGAGAAAATGCGAACTTGTACCTCTAAATCAAGTACAGTATTGTAAATCAGTGTCACCACAATAATACAGAAAAAAAAAAACTCATCCTAAATTACTCAAATATTTACCAAAGACAGTATTATCTAATTTGCAATTATCTTTTTCTGTTTAACAGAAACATTAAAGACAATCATTTTCAGTATCATCAATACTCCCATGTTACATATACACAGTATGCATTTTCAAGTATTACCTATAAGCACAGTAGAACTGAGGGTTGGTGGTGTGGCTAAAGAACTTGACCAAGACATATCAGGATCCACCTCAGCTCCCAGACTTTCAGAAATACGTTTTATTGTTTGACCCTGGAAATTAAAAAAAAAATTATTTCACAGAAATGCACTGAGGATAAAGAATATTTTTCACCTTATATTTCTCCCAATTTATCATTGATTTGCCTGAGACTGTAAGTACAGATCTGTAAATCTCAGGATAAATTTTTGTCAATTGCTCAATTACTAAAAAAATAAAAACTAGGAAAATAATTACCTTCATTAGCTTTGGTGTATGAAATAAACTTCCACATACCACTAGGGGTAAAACAAGGGAAAAATTACTATTTTATTTTTAATAAAGTTCAGACTATTTTCATAAAAAGCCTTATTATTAAATCATACCTGATTTTTCTCTTTGTGGTGTTACATGTGTACTTTGTAGAACATCAGGACTAAAACAAAACAAATCCCTCATATTACTCAAAAGATAATTATCAGTAGCGGTAAAAAGAAAAAAAAAAAACCCTAGTATTACTGGGGGAAAAAAGAACACAACTATTGGTCTTACTGTTGGAATTATACTATTTTGTAACATTTTTATATTACTTCTTCAAAAAGTAAGTATCTCATGAAGAATTGAATAACCACTAAATTATGCTTAAAATGCCTACTGACCTGAAGAGGGAAGAGAGAAATCCTATACTTCCAAAATACTTATTAGCTAATTATGAAAACCAATGGTACGTCAACAAAAAATTAAAAGCCCACTGAAAGCAATGCATTAATTACAAATTTCAGCTGCTAGGAATTATACATTCTGAAATCTAAAAGTATGTAATGTGAATCTATAACAACATTATATTCTCTGCAGAGATTTCAAAGACAAATTATTTTAAACTGACATTTCAAAGGCATTGCTTTTCAACATTATTTTTATTAATTAAAAACTGAGACTATACAGAAAAGCTGGTGAATTCAACATCCCAAGAAAAAAAAAGTAAATGTTTCTAATGTGAAAATTACAATAAAGGACTCAATTTTTTTTAGAATAGGCTAGTTAAATATAAAACATCCTCTACTAGACTGACAGGTAAACATTAACACAAAAATTAGAGCATTTCTATAGGACAATTACTGCTTGCAGGAAACTAAATCTTTAATGTAGTAATTTCATCATACCTTTCAGTAAGACAAGAATTGAGAGGTGGACTGGAAACTTCTTTTGCTTGCTCCATTTTAGCCTTCATCATTTGATAACTTTTATGCTTACTATTGGTAATATCCTTTCCTGAAAAAGTACAATTCAGTAGTGATATATATGCAGTAATCTATGCATTCTCATTCTCTGAAACAAAATGCTTTATCTAAATGGAGAAGAGAGTTTATTCAGAGTTCAGTGTGTTGATTCCTCTCAGAAATGGATGTCTGTTCCCATTCAACAACAGTATTAAGCATATCCTATGCATAAGTACTTTGGGTAATGCAACTTAAGACAGAGCTTTAACAAACTTAAAGAATTCATAATATAGTGAAGTTTTTTGAAATGTATACAGGTGGGCCTTCCCTGGTGGCGCAGCGGGTTAAAGCACTGTACTGAGAAGCTAAAGCCACTTCCGCATGAGTTCGATCCCCACCTGCTCCAGAGGTGACCACATGGCGCAGCAGACCTCTCCCGACCTGCCCACTGCTCCCCTCAGCAGTGTACTTCGTTGATCTGCCTGTTCTGCTCCCCACTCTGTCTCTAGTGAAGCCTCTCCTCTTGCCACCCCTGAGCCTCTGGCCTGTACCCCAGTTCTGTATGTACAAATAAATAAATCTTAAAAAAAAAAAAAAAAAGAAATGTATACAGGTGGAATACAAAGTAGCATGTGATGATATGTGTTGTTTTATTAATTCACACACCATAGTATGGTATGATGGATGGTAAAAATAAAAGGCATTCACTGAAAACTAAGGTATTAAATCTATCATATCACCCTTTGCAAACATTTCAACATCTTATTCTCAAGATCAAGTCGCATAACAAAACCCCACAATGACAGTCTTACATGATGTGACTTCTCAATTTCTGTGACATTTTTTCAGCCTCTACTTTTTAGCCATGGTCAAATCATCTGCAGAGCGTAACAGAATGCTTTCATATCTAGCCTTTGTATAAACTTTTTTTTTATTTCTTTCAATCTTGAACATACTCTCAAATGTTCCATTTTGAAATTAACTCCTCCAGGAAGCTTTAGTTGACCTTAAGACTATGAACTACTTGAGATAAGGATCTTGTCTTATTTATCAATGTATCCTTTAACAACTACAAAAATGTCCATTATTGGCTGAATCAGTAAAGATTAGAAAAGTAGGTTCTAGTTAGCAACACAACTTGTTTTTGTTGAAAACATTTAATTTCTAAACAGTAACACTCAAAGTTTCTAGAACGATACGAGGCACAATCAAATCTGATTTATAGTTTTCAACATTCCTACCCTCTATATCACAATTTGGCATCCAAATTACTTAAAGTTGCCTTTAAGAGTTGCTTTAATTGACTCTATAATCTTTTAGATAAGTTAGGAGGGGGGGAATAAATTGTATTAGTGTTAGTAAAATTATTTGTAGCAACTTAAGACACAATATTGCTTTAATTTTCATTTCTTAAATCACAAACAGGAATACCACCAGGAAGATGAATGAATGTGTAACTTAATCTCAATCTGAAATATCTACCTTCCTTCTCCAAAGAGCCTTTTAGTTAAATACTAGAAAGTAGCCCATAATGAAATACAACTACACACAAATTAGAAAGGCTAAAAATCCAGGAAATGCAAAATGGTATACCTATTTTGGAAGAGTTTGAACCTTTTTTTTTAATAAAACTAAAAAAACTAAACATACGCCTACTTATGATCAATAAATTGTGCCCCTTTATTTTTATTCGAATGAGCTGAAAACTTCTATCCATACAAAAACTATAAAGTGTTTAGAGCAGATTTATTCACAACTACCCAAACTTGAAGCACCTAAGATGTCCTTTAATAGGTTAATGGCTAAACAAACTGGTACATTCATACTACATGACTTTATTCAGTGCTGAAAAAAAAAAAAAAAAAAGACCTGAAGGTACTTCATCTTGCTAACTGAGAAAAATTGTCCTGAAGACTGTTAATTTCAACTACATGGTATTCTAGACAAAACTGTAACAAGTAAAATGATCAATGGTTGCCTGGAATTGGAGGGTAGGGAGTTGGAGCATGGGATTTTTAGGATGTTAAAGCTATTCACTGAAAGTATTATACTATAATGGCAAATACATAACATACATTTGTCAAAAGTAATAAAACTGTACAAAGAATGTCTCTAGTGTATAAACAAAGGATTTTAATTTAAATAACATCACTATTAGTCTAGCAAAGAAACAACTATAAAAAGTAAAAAGGGGTGCAGCATGTTAAAGCACAACACTAAGAAGCTAAAGCCACTTCAGCATGAGTTCAATTCCTGCCTGCCCCAGAGGTGACCACATGGCGAGACAAACCTCTCCTGACCCGTCCACTGCTCCCCTCAGCAGTGTACTTCGTTGATCTGCCTGTTCTGCTCCTCTCTCTGTCTCTGGTGAATCCTCTCACCCTCCACATCTCTGGCCTGTACCCCAGTTCCATATGAATAAATAAATAAATCTTAAAAAAAAAAGAAGCCACTTCCACATGAGTTCGATCCCCACCTGCCTGGAGGAGATCCACATGGCGAGGCAGACCTCTCCTGACCCGCTGCTCCCCGCTCTGTCTCTGGTGAATCCTATCACCCTCCACATCTCTTGCCTGTACCCCAGTTCTGTATGAACAAATAAATCTTAAAAAAAAAGGACCAGGCAAAAAACAAGTCATACCCTAATAAGCATTTCCCAAATAATGTGACCATCTCATAAATAAGCTGAAAAATAGCAAAATTTATATTAATTTATGAAAAAGGATGAACTGCTGAGCAGAAAAGCACATTTCCTCATGGAACTTTAGTGGTAACTCAATATATTTATTAGATGCTAGCACATTAAAGAGCAGGTTAGAAAACAGTCTTAGTATTACTTTTACATGTCAGCACTGAACTTAAAATAATCTTAAAAGCATAAACAGGATGCTATCTATAGTTAACAGGATTATTTATGCACTATAAACGAGTGAAACTCTTTGGCAAGGAGTCCAGAGTGGCCTTTTTTGTTCATTCCTATTTTACCTGCTTACAGACAGACCATTTTTAGCAGGTTAAAATTAGAATAAAATCACTATTTCTAAGTTATGTCTGTCAAGATTTTGCAGGCTTGTCTATGCCACTTTCACTGAACATACTAAGACAAATGGCTGCTTCCTTCACTATGCCCACAAGTGTTTTGCATATATTTCTATTTGAATGTACACCACACCAATATATTTGCTTACATATCTTCTGCCACACAATTAGAGGTCCTACAGGTCAAAGGCCATATTATTCATGTTTGTATCCTTAATGCCTAGCAACTTGCTTGTTGCAATATTTGTTAGACGATTGCCTTTCCTGTGTACTTATCTACACTTCATTTGGCTCCATCCCAGGCCTCAATCAATTTTGTCATGATGATTCCTTTAGTTTCAGTCATACATTCCCCAAAACCTTCAGAGTCTCTATCTTAATATCACATTCCTGTCCTCAAAACTGTAGTTCAACTTTTCTTATCCTTTCAAAACGTTCTCCTTCAAACTTACTTTTCTCTATTGTAAAAAATTTCTGTGAATGCCATCACTATATTGTCAGTGATGCTCTAAAAGTGATTTGAGCCTTCCTTTTGGATGTGTATACCAGGATATTGCAGGGTCCTTCTGTATTCTACCTCCTATATCCACTCTCACTACCATTACTCTAACTTGGCACTTGCCTCTATCACCTTGAACACTGCATGTCAATTGATTCAGCTACCTCCAATCTTCCCTTTTCATGACAAATACCCAATTAATTAAAATTGTACATTCAAGTGCTCTATTTCCAGAGATTCTAATAGATTCAGAAGAGTGCCTGTAACTGTCTCTTTCAATCAGTACTTCAAGAGATTCTAATAGTTCAGACATCACATTCTGAAAAACATTATCGCCAGTTTACTATCGCTACTGCTACCAGATTATTGGGTTTTCTAAAGCAAAATAAATATTCATTTATCTACAAATATTTATTCGCTACTCATCACACAGGACATTTGGTATCTAAGAACATACAAGAAAATCTCTGACCATTATCCATATTCCCTTCATATATTCATTTTCTAATACCACAGATTTACTCTTTCAGTAACACTTGCCACACTAAGTGCTTATGCAGGTGTCATTCACTAGAAACTAAACAAGTGAGATAGGGAATACTTTCTTCAAGTAGAGAGGTAAGGCAGAACTGAAAGATGATATAAATTAGCTAGACAGAAAGGTAGGAAGAAAGGTTTTGGAAGGAGTCACAAGAGTATGATGGTTTTTTTTTTTTTTTAGGCTCCTTTACCAGTTTAATAAATCCAGAATCTACAAATAGGGTCCCTACCACTATTTTTAAAAACTCTTTGGGGTTCCTCCCTAGTGGTGTAGCGGGTTAAAGCACTGCACTGAGAAGCTTAAGCCACTTCCGCATGAGTTCGATCCCCGCCTGCCCTGAGGAGATCCCCATGGTGTGGCAGACCTCTCCTGACCCACCCGCTGCTCCCTTCAGCGTGTACTTCGTCGATCTGTCTGTTCTGCTCCCCACTCTGTCCCTGGTGAATCCTCTCACCCTCCACATCTCTGGCCTATACCCCAGTTCTGTATGCATAAATAAATCTTTAAAAAAAAAAAAACCTCTTTGGGTTTACATGATCCAGAAATTCTTTTTTTTTAGGCTCTGCCACTTTATTTTTGTGTGTTTGATGGCTTCCATAAAAAGGTCAGTATGAATGGAAATTTGAGAGTGGGTGGAAGGGGAGTTATGGTAAGATTTATGCACATGATCACAAAGGACAGAGATTACTTTTCTCAATTGCTGCAAATGTCTTGATTTGCCAGTAAGTGTCAATATTTCCAATTAACATGCAGCACAAGTAATCATATTACAATGTTATAATTATATACAGTCATTTATATTATGTTCAGTCATTCATATATTTGTTACATGCTTGATTTAAGTAACAGTCCCCCTGTCTTAGGAGTTATCACTCTCTAGTAAGAGGACTTACTAATACACAGTTAAAGTGTAGTTTAAAGAACATGGTTCATATCAAAAGAATAGTATAATGGGAGCCAAGGAAAAAAGGAGCACAGATAGTTTTGGGGAGAGTTAGGGTAAGATTAATTTGAATTAAACCTTGAAGAACAGGCATTGATTCAGAAATCTGAAGATGGACTAGAATGATGGTGTTCTAGGGAGAGGAAAAAAACATGAGGAAGAATAAGTAGTTTATACAGAAAACAATAATTAAGATTGTTTAGAGTATTGTATATCTGAAAGGGACCAATAAATAACCTAGTCTAAAAAGAGCAGATTCGAAGTAGGCATTAAACGCCAGGCTAAAGAAATTTTACTTGATAGGTTGTTGATCAGAGAAATCACCTGCAGGTTTGATCATGTTACTTCTTGCTTCAAACCTTCAATTATCTCCCTTTTGCCCTTAATATGATTTACAAGGTCCTATAAAACCTGGTCTCATTCACTTTTGCTAATGTCAATTTCTAGTTTATATTTTTATGTAATCTACCATATTATATAACTTACCCAAGTCTAAGCTGTATTTATCCAATTCTTTTGAAGGAGAGTGGTATGGTGGCAGATTTAGACCTTGTTCTTTGAATATGATTGGAGTTGAAGCCAATTGATAAGGTCTCCTTTGCGGTGTTTTAAATAGGCTTGGTTCATAACTGCTGATTTTATATTCAGTTTCTTCTACAGGTTGAGAGTTATAGGGTGGAGCTTCTGAAGAAAGTTCATCAAACCAGTTAAGACTTATTGGTCCTAAATCTGTAAGAAAAATAAAAGTTCCACCTTCGCTTTAATGAGTGACACAGAAAATATCACAAGCCAGTAAAGATCACAACAGAGAAAAGGATACTAGAGATACTGACCATGGATAACTAGTTAAGCATACTAATTAAACAAAATCATTAATCTGTTCTTTTACAAATCTATAACAAGAGTTCACAAAAGCTGTAAGGAGATAGCTTTTAGCTTATTAGCTCTCCTAAAACTTTCTGTTTTAAGATTCAGAACAAAAAACATAGTAAAAAAAGCATTCTATAGATACTATACAAATGATTATGAAGACTACCTAAGTGGATGTGAGAAATCTGTGGGTACAAGGAACACATAGGCTCACAAAAATAAAGTAAGAAGCTCCTCTGTTAAAGAGAACTGACAAAATTTCTATTAAGACCTATTCACCCTTAAAGAAGTAGTCCTCAACATAAAAGCACTCTGAGGACTATTTTGGGAGATGATATTCCTCAGACCTTTTCAGGAGGCCCATAGATCAAAATTATTTTCATAATAACACTAAAGAATTAATCTGTCTTTTATACAATATAGATATTTTTAGTCACTAATGAATAATAATTAAGATCTTTCTGCATGAGTCAGGACAGTAGCAACAAGCTAGAAAAGTTATTGTATTCTTCATTACTATGAATTTGTGAAGGATAAGTCCACTTAACAATGTTACTAATGTAGCAGTAAAAATTAGTTTAATTATAGATCAAACCTTTGAACAAATCTTTTTAATACTCTTCATGAAAAACAGGAAGCAGGCATAAAACATTTCTACATATTTAAATGCAAGCTGTCTAGAAATACACTTATGATGAGCTGTGCACTGAATTAGCACTTTTTTTTTCCCACGTGACACCAGTTTTACTAGAAAGAATAACTGAAAAAGCTAATAATTCTGAGTGGGATAATTTGGTATTTTTCTCAAAAAGGAATGAGGTGAGCCTGTTAATGCAGGGAAAACAATTGTTGCCAATGATAAAACGTGAATTTTCAAATGAGAATTACAATTTTTTTAAAGTTTATCAATATCTATGAACTTGATGCCTTCCCAATCTTTAAACTTGTGATGAAGTTAATGAATATTAATGTGATTCTTAAAAATTGCTGATAATTTCCAAATATTTAATGCATTAGGCTACAATCTGGATAGAAAATGGAAATGCAAGGAAGCCTAGTAGAATTTAATGTAACAAAATGTATGCGAAGTTCATTATCTAATGGTTTCAGATTCCACATTTTAAACTTTTAAAAAGTTTAATTATATTTTATTCCTTAATAAAATATACCCAAACAGTATTTTTACCTTTATTTTTAAAAAAGTTATTTTAAGTACTGGCATTATATCAAGTGATAATGCCTACAGTTAGCTAAGAGAATGTCAAAATATTCTTTTTCCAAACTACACTGCTGTATGAGGGTGGATTTTTTTACATGTATTTATCAAAACATACTGTACCAAAGTAAATTCAGAAATAGTTTTGAGAATCCATCTATCTCCTATTAAGCCAAATATTAAAGAGACTGCAAAACTTAAAAGACTACACTCTCTCACTAGTTTTTTTCTGGACAATATCATAATTTTTAATGAAAATGTTATTCATGTCAATAAATACAATGAGTTTACTTTTGTAATTTTTAACTAAATACATGTCTATTCTAATAAGGCGAAATCTACATAAAACAAAAGCTGTCTAAGGTCCTGAATTATTTTTTAAGTGTGTAGGAAGTACAGAGACCAAAAAACTTTGTAACTTCTGCTGTAAAGTAACATTTCCAGTGGCTGATTTGCTAGAAGTTCTGCCCTTTAAAAGCAATTCTCTCAACTGTTAACCGAACCAGTACCAACATATCCACCAGGGGGTGTTCTGTAAAGAACAGATTATAGTATAAACAAAAACGTGAAATATTGGCTTATTTTCAGCAAGTGCGCATATTTTCATGTTCTGGAAACATTTTCTTAACGTAGTTGATCAGCTTATAGAAAACCTTCAATACCTGCTTCACTGCAACGAGTCTTAAAAATTTCGTAAAAAATTGGCTTCTGTTTACATCCGATAGGCATTTTATCCACGATGTACTCCAATCTGCAAAAGAAAAGATCAAAATACACTTGGGATGCTGGTAAATCCTTGTTAGGTAGCTCAGGTAAAATCAGAAGTGGGTAAATCTGTCTCAAGTTACATCTGAAAAACTATAAACGAACTTGCTGCAATGATGGAAACATTTTGTATTTGTTGTCTAACACAGCAGCTACAAGCCACATTTACTTTTGAAATGTGTCTAGTGTGACTCATGAACAGAATTTTAAATGTGTGCCTTTAATTAGTTACGTGCGGTCAATTACCGCGGGTTATTAGAGATAAAAACTGTAGGACAAGAACAAATCAGTACACTTTCATCCTCTTAACAGCTCAATTACCTGAGAATAATTTGTAAGGCAGATGCAGGATGCCAAGAACTGTAAAACATTTTCCAAAACAGCAATAGTCCGTTAAAGAAACTGTATATTTCCAATTAAGGAAATTTCAGATTGGGGTTATCTGGGTCAGCTGGGAAGCAAATCCAGACAGATTCCCGGGGCCCTAAATTGGGGAACGGAATCTCAGTGAAGTAGGGGTGGGGGGGGGCGGTGTTCGAATTTGCTTTGCTGACACGCCGATTCCTCGATCTGCGGGGCTGTTTCTTTCTTCCCTTCAATTTCGGGATGGCAGAGAGCAACCTCAGACAGGAAGCCGCGCTCCCACCCCGGGCACGAAAGACGCAACCCCGCCGCCAGAACCCGCGGAAAAGAGGCCCGTCTCCACACCAGCCAACACTAACCGCCTCCTTAGGTGCAGTTCTTGTTGTCCACGGTGGACTGACAAAAACCGCGTCCACACTTAAATCAGAAATCCGACTCCTCCGACTCCTTCCGGCCCAGACAAGGCGCCCAGCCCCAGTTGTTCTGCTAGCTCCAACTTTGTTTCAGACGTTCGCGCCAAAAGCCTGCTCGCTCTCGGCGCGCGTCCTGGATGACGTCATGACGTGGCACGCAGCGCGCGCGCCACCCGGAAGTCGCCGCATATTTACGGACGCTGCCCCCCTTCCCAGCGCCGCGGTTTTATATGGCGAAAGTTAATACGCTTTGATCACCTCTCTGTCGGGCTCGAGCTTCTGGCAGAGGGAGCGGACACGTTGGTTGCCTCCTCCCCAAATCGAGCATACGGAAAGCTTGGACGGACAGCTACTGTGGATACTCGCAACTCTTGCCGTTCTCTGAGCTCCATCCTCACTCTTCCCTCGGGATAGGGCCTGCGGTGTTCGAAAGGCTTTTATTCTAAACTTTGAATGGATTGACCTTAAGAATACCCAAAATTAGTTAGTTGTGGGTCATTCGCTGCCCGTGTCGTCCTTTTAGAGTGGAAAGGACCGAGATTGGAAATCGAGACGATCTAGCCTCTTCTGTTGCTCTAGCTGATTTTCAAGACCTCTGAACCTGTTTCCCGCTTAAAAATGATTAACAGCTGACCTGCAACGTAGGCGGTAGTCACACTTGCAGGCTTCAGTACTGTCACCTTGTTTTGTATTTACTCCCTAGCTAACCCCTCATCCCCATGCCCTGAAAAAGACAGGAATCTATCAAGGTCTGTGACTTGCCTACCATAGGGATTAATTTGAATTTGTTTCATGATATAGAAAGCCTTAATAGGATTCATAGATGAGAGCTACTCATGAGCCTTGCTTCCACCGCACCCCCAGTGTTTAATTCCATCTCATTAGAATGTCACTACAAGGACAAAAGCCTTTACTGTGCTTTTCTTCAGGCAATACAATTTGTGTTTGTATTTATAAAAGAACTGATTACTATTAAGGCATGGACTGATTAAAAACAAATACTGAAATAGTTCAGATATTTTGTGCATTATCTAACCCTCACAGCACTATAAATTATAATGCCATATTCCTTTCTTTGAATCGATAGAAAAGTCATTTCCAGTGTTTTTGATAAACTTGTCAGCACCAGAAGGCTCTTCAGTAGTAAATAGCAGAAGCATCTAAATTAGAAAAGGATGGGTTCCACTTGGTTCCTTGGGTGTTACTATAATTTTATAATCAGTAATCCTTACCGGTAGCAGAAAGTCTTATCAATATATAGCAAAAGTCTTGACCATATATAGCAGAGGAATACAGGCTATGATCCTTATATAATAATAGCTATTATTTATTGAGCAATGTTTGAGTTCTGTTTTGTGCTTTATAACCAATATCACCTTTAATCCTATAATTATAAATAGGTTAGCATTGTCAGATGGGGAAAATGAATCAATCATTTAAGTAATTTACCTGATAACAAGAAACAGGTTTCAAGTATGTTTGACTTTCATTTACTTAGCTATCCTACTACTTAATAAGTATTTATCTTCTAAATCAGACCAATTCCCTTCCCCCCCTTTTTTTGGGGGGGGGAAGGGTCCTCATTATAGATGAACTAATGAGAATTGTTGATATGTTATATAACCCTCTGAAATACATTTCCTTTTTCTATACACAGCCCACCTGCCCTGCCTCCTCAGTACACACACAGACTTTATGCTGTTTTTTTCCTGTGATACTAGGGTCTTTATATTCATTAGCTTTGTCTTAAACACTTTCTTCCTTATACACTTTCTGTTCTACTACTTCAGCAATTTACTACCTATATTCAATTTATTATATGAACCTTAAAGACCTCTGAAATGGCAAATCACTATGAGAACAAATTGCTAATTAAAGCATGTGTGAGAAAGAAGTCTGTAATGAAAAACAGCTTTGGAAAGAGTGAATTAGATAGGGAAAAGCAACTAGGAATCAGGTGACAGTTAGGCCTCTGTAAATCAATCTCCTCCCTCTTTCAATTAAGGAAATAGGAGACAGCTCCCAACAGAATCTGAAATAAATGCAGAAGCTCAGGGATGAATCTGAACCAAACTTGATCAGGAGAAAGAAGGGGCTGATGAAATAGGCAAAGCCCAGAAAGGATACTAGAATATTGCCTTGTGCTTGCGCACCAGGTGAGTGGATGGAACGCATTATACGTGTTCCCTATGGTTTGTACCAGGGATATGGGAACACAGTGGCATTTGGCCAGGCTGGACTCTCTGAGCACAAACACCCAGACTGGAGGCAAAACGCTGGCCCTCCCACTTTCCTGGCCAGACCAGGGCTATTGGTGCCTGCGAATGCCTCTGACTATTGTATGGACGCTTACAAGAGGGCACAGCTTAAGGCTATTCTTTCCCAGATGAACCCCAGCCTGAGCCTACGACTGTGCAAAGTCAATACTAAGGAGATGGGTGTGCAGGTGAGCCCTCGGGTAGATAAGTCAGTGCAGTGCTCCCTGGGGCCCCGAACCTTGCGCAGCCACTCTGTCTGGAGCAGTACAAGCCACAAAACACCCCTGCCTGCTTGGGGAGTCTATTCACCATCGATGGGACATAGAGGCTTGATTCGGCAGAGGAAGGATGAAGAAGACAAGGAAAAGATGCTTTCCACTCCTACTGAAGCCAGGCAACTGCAGTTGGCACAAACACCAAGGTTGGAGGAGGACAAGCAGGAAAAACTCAAGCAGCACGATGATTTGGGGGAGGAAGATGCCTCCAGTTCTCCAGAAAGGAAGAGCAAGCAGGAACAAGTGGTTGCCACTCATCAGCTTGGAAAATCCAACTTCCAGGTGAATTATTTCTACCCACTGCTCAGTTGTCTGCCAATCTCACTCTTCCATTCCTCTTTCTGTGGCGACAAGAATAACATCTCTTGCTTCCTCCTCTTGATGAAATAGCAGGAATTCTGAAAACCTGTTTTTTACATGGATTATGTGCTTTCTAACTTTTGGTAAAAAGTGTGCCAACTCTAAGCCTATAAAAACAAAAGTTTGCAATCATTGCAATTGGAAATGAGGACACAAGTTATGACTTCAAGTCTGAAATATACGTTCAGGTTATCATTTTGGGGAGGTTGGTTTGATGACATTGTGGAAAATGGATTGGAAAAGTACGAGACAGCAAGAAGAGCCAGAGTAAACTTTGAGAGATGAGATAACTAAACTAATATAGTAACCTTGAGAATAGCTACAAATAAGGTTTTTTTTTTTTTTTTTTTTTAACAAACTGACACAGGAAAAGGATCTGGCTTTTTTTTTGTTTTTAATCTCCCAGGATAGTAAATGATGCATGCTTCTCCCTTCCACCTCCCTCCCCTATTTGCAGTTTTTGGAACCAAAATATGGCTATTTTCATTGTAAAGATTGTAAGACCAGATGGGAGAGTGCTTTTGTGTGGTGCATTTCTGGAACTAATAAGGTAAGTAAAAGTGAATGGGGCATGGGAGGAGGATGGGGCAGGCACAGATGTGAAATAGAGGGAGACATTTCTGAATGGGGTGAAACCTTGATACTGTCTCATTCTAGGCATCCTCAGTGCAGATACATAATAGATGCTCAGTAAATGATTTAAACTAACTCGAACTAGCTACATGATGACTTGAGCTCCTGGGCCATATCCTGATGTTATATTGTTTGGTAGGTCCTTTAGACAAAATGTCAGGTTATTGAGGTAAACTCCTGTTCTTGTGTAAGTTGGGTCTTTCTGTAGTAAACGTTTCATTAGTAGTTTTGAAAAGCTTTGGCTTTAGAACATTTCATTCCATTTCTGTCCACCAGGTGGGGCAATAAAAGAAATCATTCACTGAGAAGAATAGCCTGTGAAACGAGTTAAGAAGTTAGTTTTATGTTAATTCTCCTTGAGTTAACTGTTCTCAGCATATTAATATTGGAAAAAACTTTCCATTAAATTTTGTACTTCTATGCTTGCCTAAACAGCCATTTGGTCATTGCCAATTCTCCGAATGAGCAGCTCCTCTCACTAGTACTGTCACTATTACCCTGGTCTAGTTTGAGCTAATTTATTCCCATTTACAAACATTTGAATTTGACTGCCCTGTGCTGCTACATTTTAGATACTTCTTTTCTGACAGTATCTGGCAGTAAAAAACTGTAGAGGGAAAGGGCAAAGAATCATGCTACTAGCTGAAGGAAATTGTAACATTTTATACTAGTTCAGATACTTTTTTGAACCAAATATATTTTTGAAAATAAACCAAAATGACTTCTTCTGCTAGAAGAAAAACACTAGGTTTAATTTAATACTTAGAGACACTAGGATTCAAAGAACAAGCTCAAGAATTATATTCTGCTAAGAATGAAAAGACAGAGTGAAATTAGATACATGCAGTGGTCACCAGTGGCATGGGAGGGGGTTGCATGATGCTATCAGAGGAAAGGTATCATGATGTCTGAGTGGGATTTTGAGAAAGGCTGGCAGGTGATGTGGATCAGAAAATGCACAAATCCTAGAAAATGCATACATTGGTGGGAAATTATAAGTAGCTTGAAATTCAAGTAGGGACATACTGAAAATGAAAAAGTAGGGGATACTAGATGGGCACAAAAAGAGAAAGTTGTAATCAGTAGTCTATTGATTTTACAGGTAAGGAAAGTGAGGTTCAAAGAGTTAAAACAAAGAAGTGAGTGACAGCATAAGAGGGTAGAGGTTGGGGAAAAGCAAGGTACAGGGTGAGAGAACAGATCACTTAAATTTAGAACTGGGAGCACATCAACTATATTAAAAAGACAAATTTCTCTTCAGGTTTATTTCAAACAACTCTGTTGCAAATGCCAAAAGAGCTTTAACCCTTACCGAGTAGAAGCGATCCAATGTCAGGTGAGCATGTAGAACACTTCCATTGTGTCTATAACATTTCATGCTTCATCATGAAGTTTCTCTGGCAAATGTTTTGATAAAATATTTGCTAAAATAGGATATTTTTATTGCACTGTTAGTTTTCTGTATGTTTGAAATTTTATCATATTTAAGGAAAGCAGATAGCTTTTTTTAAGAAGGGCAAGGTTTAAACTTAAGTTGTCTTATGCAGTGTGTTTGGGTATGGAGTATTCATGTCTGTTTTCTCTCACACCTATGTACAGTTTGGAAACAATACTTAAAAACTTTTACTAAGCTTTAACTATGTGCCAAACTTTGGGCTAAACATTTTACATGTATTTTATTCTGTAATCTACCCTTTGAGATGGATATTATTCCCACGTTACAGACCAAAAAAAAACTGAAGTTAAATAAGATGAAATAACTTGTCCAAGGTTAGACTGACAGTATTAGAGTTAAACCTGCATTAGGATTCCATGGTGTCTCCAGTGTCTAGGAAGTAAAAGAATTAGGTAAGGTCTTATCTAAAATAGCGTGTAGAAACCTAACTTTTTCAGAAAAGCATGACAGTTTTTTCTTTAAACCTTTGTTTTTTAGCAGTTTTAAAATAACACCTATCTGTGGGTTCTTTGTATTTATCCTGTTGAGATTCAAAGCGTTTCTTGAATTTGTAGCATGGAAACTTTAATCACATTTGGAAAATTATCAGTCATTAACTTCATAAATGCTGCTTCCAATCCTTCTCTTTCAATCTCTCATATTAGACCTTTCATCATATCTTTCTATTTTCTATGCTTTTGTTTCTCCTTGTTTCAGTACTATCTATGAACACATCTCCTATTTCTTTTCCCTTAGCTCCTCCCCATCTACATTAAACCCATCATAGTTACTGATTGCAATTACTGTATTTTTCAGTAATAGAATTCTTATTTATCTTTTTAAAAATACTACCGAGTATAAATTCCCTATGAGTTTGTTGCTATCCTTATCATTTTTGAAAATTTCAGGTATGTTGTTCTGTCTTCTATATATCTGGTTATTTTTGATTGAATGCTATATACTATATACAAAAAATTATAGTGATAATTTCAGCATCTCCTTCAACAGAAGATTTCCTTCTGGTGGGAAAATGGGGACACTGGCAGTCTTGGATCTATCCTCCAGTCAGGGTTGAGCTGTTTAGAAGTTGAATTTGACTGACATCATTGTAGGCTGGTTTGTTTTTGGCTCATTCCTACTCAGAAGAGTGCAACATTTCTGCATCCTAACATACAACCTGAATTGTTAACCTGGTCTCATTTTGGCATATTTAATATTATCCATTAGCTTTATCAATTTGCTAAACTTTTTCAGTGTCTTACTCTCTTCCCAGAAAATAGTTTTATATGTCAGTGTCACTTTTACTTCTGGGCTTTCTTTCCTAATGCTATGCTACAATTTTTTTCTCAGCTTTTCTAGTTTTCTTAACATGATAGTTTTGATCCATATCTATTTCACCACTTCCAGAAACAACAACAAAAAAACTACCTTTGGAGTAAATCTTGATTTTTTTTTAATTGAGCCTTTTCTTGCCTTTAAGGTTATTGTGGGTGTAATACATGAATCTATACTTACTAGAACAGTGCTTATGGTAAACACCATGTGAGTATCAATTATTTTCTTAAGGATGTGTAACTGTCCATGAAAGAATGAAAGGCATACCTTTAGTACAATACTTGTTAAAATCACATTTAAAACTGTCATTTGGAAAATGAAAATGCCTTTTTTCATAATATAAAAGGTAAAGCTTGACTTTTTCTGGCAATGAGACATATGCAGAAATTAGAACTGTGATTATCAGTTTCAAAGATTAGCAAGGTTGGGAAGTTGGATGAGGACAGCATGCCAGTGCCTGGAGTGGATTTTTAACTTAGTAGAGGTCAGAATGGGATGCTGGTTAAAAAACACTTAAATTCTAATAAATACTGTACCTGTCCAGACAAAAATTGAGATACCTTTAGCACAACCCTCCCTGATATTGCAAAAACCAAAAATATCTCTAGACATAGCCAAATGTCTCTGAGTAAAATACTCCTGGTAGAGAAACAATAGCATCTTTAAATGTCCCCATCTAGATTATCAAGTCACAGAACACTCACCAACTGCTTCTCATTTGATTGCATATGTGAAAACTTAAACTTTACAAACTCTTTTAACTTATAAAACTTTTCTCTTGTTTCTTCTCTACTAGCTCCATATCTGAACATTTATCTTTGATGTTTAATACCTTTGTTGTTTATCATTATTCATTTTGAAAGTTGTATGGTATTTAATGGAATATGAATGGTTTAAATGACTTAGTCTGTTTTCTCATTGGATTCAAAGGAGGTTGAAGATGTTGGGGATGGAGTGGTAGGTCAAGAGGTATGATTTGAGGATTACATTTGAAATACAATTTTGATCACTCAGTGTCTAAACTCTTCCTTGTTTTTCAAAGACCTGTTCAAAGTCTCCTTGTTCCTGTCCTCAGAAGAAAAGACATATCGACCTGAGGAGACCTCATCGACAGGAATTGTGTGGTCGCTGCAAAGACAAGAGATTTTCCTGTGGCAATATTTACAGCTTTAAATACAGCAAGTCATTATGACTTGTACAGTACTCCCAAACTATTCTGGTACCTGTTGTGCTATTTACTGTTTTTTTCAAATTAGCTTTGAACTGGTATTAAACATGGATTAGGTTTTCGTACTTTTTGTAGTTTGTAAAATATTTGTACAATATGAATAGAATTAAATAAATGCATGTAAAATATAGCATGAAGGCTCATTAATTGGTCATCTCAGGGTAAAATATCAATGTAGCATGGGAATTGGTAGATACTGTCACTTATGTGAAGGAATAATAACCATTCATTTGACAAACTTTTATACGGTGGGTGCACAAAGCATCAAGAGTATAGATAATGAAGAGGCAAGTGTTTGCCCTTCAATATGCATAATTAAAGTAAATGCTTAAATAGCGCTTAGTGTGTGCCAGCTATTGCTATAACTCATCACAGCAACCATGGTAGCTAGAAACTACTATAACCTTCTTAATGAAGACAGTGAGTCCCCCCAGAGAAGTTATAACACAGAATTCAGATTTGAATATAGGTAGTCTAGAACTTGATCCATGGTTTTAATTACATGTAGATTTTATTTCCAATTCAGATATGATATGTGCTGTGAAGGAAACAGGTTGCTATTCTAGAGTGACCCATAGGGTGATTGAGAAGAGACAACATGAGAACTGACATGAGAATTGATGGGGAGCTGGAAGGAAAGAATATGGGTTTGTTCTGAAGCATCAGCAAAAGCTAAGACTTTAGGGTTCGGTTATATGCTTGGTATGTCCCAGCAATGTGAGCCCCTGTGAATAATGTAGACATGGGCTTCAGGAGACAGGCCTTGGGTCACAAAGTGTTCTCGTGGTCATTGTCAAACATATCAACCCATGTAGGGGGGTTAACAAGGAAGTAACATCAGATTCTTATTTTGAAAAATTCACTACTGTGAGGAAAGATCAGATAGAGTAGGAGAGAGACCAGGCAGGTTAATAAATGCACAAGGAAAATAGTAACTTGGACGTGGTGGTGGCTATGGAGATAAGTCTATGAATTCAAAATAATATTTGAAAATGTAATATGTACAACTGAAAGTGATGAGGAAATAAATGATTTATTCCTTTTAAATTCTTCTTTGAACTCTGTGGCAGATGGAACTGAGAAGTGAAACAGGTAATCAGACTCCAGAATATGCTAACTTCAAAACCTGGGTGCAGCTGGATATGTATGATTGTTGGCCACTTACTTGCCCTGTCTCAATTACTCTACTGTAAGTTGGGAATAGAGCACTGGTCTCTTGGTGGCAGTATGTGGCCTGGCAAGCCGATGTGTGAGAGTTCTGTTAGTTTAGCTATTTTTTATTTGGTGGGGCTATGAGGTGGGGGAGGGTTTTTACCCTTAAGTTTAAAATATTTGAGACATCCAGCTGGGGATATTAGGTAACTTTCTTGAGTATATAAATCTGGAATTTAGGAGGAAAATCATGACTAGTGAGAGATTCAGAGATTAAAAAAATACATTGTATTTAAAGCTGTGGGCCTGCTGGGAGGAGAGTTGGGCACAAGGCCCTGGGGAACAGCCTCATTTAGAACAGGGATTCTAAAACAAGATTTATCTGGTGACAGTGATCTAGTAGTCCTGAGGTCAGAGACTACAAATCTAATAATGATGCCATCAATGCTGCTGGTCCCATAAACTACACTTTGAATAGCAAGAAGTAAGGGGTTAGATAAAAGAGCAGATCAAGAGAGATAAGATGATGATGTCATGAAAGCAAAGATAAAATAGTATTTGGAAAAGGTGGGAGTGGCCAATTCAGTCAAGTCCTGTGGTGAGTGAGGAAGATAAAGTCCTTTTGATAGGAAGTGTCAATGGAATGAGGGGGTCACAAGACTGGGTGTGGATTATACTTTTTAGAACTTTTGTTGTTAAAAAAGCATAAGAGGCCCTGGTGGCACAGTGGCTTAAAGCGTAGCACTAAGAAGCTAAAAGCCACTTCAGCATGAGTTTGATCCCTGCCCCAGAAGTGACCCACATGGCACAGCAGACCTCTCCTGCCTCTCCTGCTGCTCTGCTCAGCAGTGTACTTCGTCAGCCAGCCTGTTCTGCTCCTTACTCTGTCTCTGGTGAAGCCTCTCACTGTCCTTGCACCTCTGTCCTGTTCTGTACACATAAATAAATCTTAAAAAAAAAAAAGCAGATGAATTGGTGATATATATATATATATATATATATATGTATATACAAGCAATACATTTATACATTAATGGGAATGTCAAGTAGTTGGAAGTTGCTGGTTTATAAGGAAGAGGAGATGTCTGCAGGTGCAAAGCCCATGAAAAAGGGGGGAAGAGATAGGTCCTGAGAGGAAATGGCGTGATGTGACCAGAAGGGAGCAGAATCTATCTTTGACTGTAGGAGATGTAACACCTAGAACATGGGGATAGTTCATTGAAGTTGTGGGGTGAAGAGGAGATGGACTGATTTGTCTTACTCAATGAAGCAAAGTCATCAGTTAAGGAAGGTTGGAAGGGAAAGGAATGCGAAGCTGAGAAGGAAGATAATATATATCAGGTATTGCAATTTGAAATTATCAGGAAATGTATAAGGATTGTGGAGACCTCATTTTGGGATTTGGTGTGTTTGAGATATGCTTGTTTATAGATGTGTTCAAGTCATGTCACATCTCATCTGTTCATGGTATAGCTCATCTCAGCCCATGGTACAGCTGTGAAAAGATTAGATTTTAGCATTCACTAGTTAAGTAAGACAGGAGAAAGATATATTCAAAGTCAGCCAGGGAGTGGTTATGGGCAATGAATTACTAGGAAGAAGGAAGACAGTGATGAGTAGTGGAAAAAGTGAAATCTCCAGATTGTTACTCATGATGGGACAAAGTGGACGTGATGGTGGGTTGGCTAGAGTAAAAGGACATTTCAAAGATTCCTAAGTGAGATGCTTAAAGATGAGATCTGGAGCTAGAGCACTTATTGCTGTGGCTGGGGTTTTGTATAACCCCATGAGTGGGTGGCCAGGTGGAGTGGGGTGAAGAACCCTGGAAGTAAGAATGGTAAACTGAGAGGAAAATATTTTGTATGGCTTATTCCCAAGGATATTGCAGTCCCTTAGAACAGTATTGGAAACTGGACAAGAGAATGAACTCTAGCTATGGTCTTCCAATGAATAAGGGCGTGTGAGCAGTGGATCTCAACTGCTCCAACTTAATAAGGAAGAGGAACTTACTGAATCATTACACTTAGAGCCTATGTGGAAAAATGATTGGGGATACACTTTAGAAGAAAGAGTACTTTGCTTAAGAATAAATTTCTCTGAAACCAGTCTTTCAAGTGGGATCATTATTTAAATGCTCACTTGGCTGGCTCTGTTGAGGTATTAACTGGGGGAATTATCACTTTTGACAAGCACTCTCTGGTGATTCCTAGGCTTAGAGCAAAAGCAACATTTCACTCTAGAGAGCAGATTAGAATCACCTGGGGGCACCTTAACCAGCCCTGGCATGTGAACATACTTCAGACTCATTAGATCCATCTCTGGAGGGCTGGAGCCTAGGTATTGGTGTTTGAAGTTTCCCATATGATTTCATATGTAACTAAGGTTTTGAATTTATTATATATATACCACACTCTGATCTTTGTCCCAACTGACTGAGACAGGTGAGTATTTAATTTTGTCCTCAGGATATTTAAATACTATCTACTTGTCTTTAGTCCAGACTTCTCATCAACAGACTTACATTGGTTCGTCATTATAAGTGTCTAATTAGGCATCTCAAAGTTAACATATCTGAAAATCAAATCTTGATTTCTACCACTGAAACATGGCTTCCTTATCTCGGCAAATGAAATCTCCATTTTTCTAATTGTTTGGGCAAAACTTTGGAGTCTCGCATTCCACATGTCATTATCAAGTGCTGTCATCTCTACCTCTGAAATATTTCTAGAATATGCCCACATCTGTTACTAACCTAGCTCAAGCTGCCACCACCATTGATGGCACTAGTGCAGTAACTTTTTAACTGGTCTATTCTGCACATAGTACTTATATAATCCTCTTTAAAAAAACACACTTTTATTGGATATATATATATATATATATATATACACACACACACATATATAAAGCATGAAATGGACCATTTTATAGCCAACAATATGTGGCATTAAATACACTCATTGTGGTTGTATAACTATCACCACTAATAATCTAGGGCCTTTTAATCATCCTAGAGTGACCCTTTTAAAACACAGATCAAAGCATGTCACCGTTCTGCTCCCAAACACCCAGTTGTTTCCATGTCACTCAGAGAAGGACCAAGTCTTTCCTGGCCACATACTCTGTTCCGCCCTCCTCTGTGATCTCTGTCCTCTTTACCCATTTCATATGGGTCACTGGCTTTATGTCTTTTTTTCTTTGCTATGATGCTTTGCCTCCCACATACCCATGTGTATTCTAACTTCATTTAGACCTCTTTCATGGCACTTCACCATCTGACAGACAAACAAATGCATCTTCTGGTAAAATGTATGCTCCTGGAGAGCATACGACATCACGTTTGTTAACTGTAATATTTCCTGAAACAGTGCTAGCCTACAGTACAAGAAATATTTGCTGAATGAAAGAAAAATTCCACTTGTGATAGGTATTCAAATATTAACCCTAAGTAAGGATATCAAAAACTTTAAAAAAAAAAAAAGACTCCAAGATTTACTGAGATATAATTGACACATCATGCCTTGGACACTAATTTACATGTTGTTCTTCAGGCCAGTGTTTGAAAACTGATATAAGTGATTGAACTAAGTATATTGTATATTGGAGGGCCTTATTCTTTATAAAACTCTATAATTCACTTAGGTCAATATGTGTTAGGGTTAGGAGCTAGAAGAGCCTTACACTGGTCACAGACATCTTTTACAACTGTACTAACACATTTTAATGTTCTCAACTTTTGGTGGAATAAGACATTTGCATGCCTCTAAAATGTATGGTTCCTTTTTGAAAACATGATTTGAAGACTACAATTT